AGATGCAACGGATGTGTGGAGGCTTTGAAGGGGGTCATCTGCAGACCCGAGCTGGTCAAAGTGACCGGTATTGGCGTACAGAGTCTCCCAAGCATCTGATGCGGTGCCCAGAGTGTTTGAGCCCACTGGCACGATGGGCATGTCAAAAGCCACAGTGCTCGAGTCCTCATCAAGGACTCTCAAGCCTCCGGCATCACTTCTTGTGAAGCGTATTAGATTGCTGCCGCTCTGCAACCCGACCGCACCTCCCTTTGCCAACCACACGCCTCCGTCCACATCATTCCATGTGAAAGAGATTGCACCTGGATCATCTGCAAAATCGTCCCCCATTACCCTAATGCCAGCCCCATCAGCATTCACATCAGACGGGCTATCTGATTGAGCAAGAGTGATGGTCCGATCCTCGACTAGGAGGTCAGTACTGGTTACATAGTTGATTGGCCCATTCACGTCAAGGCGCCCATTGATTGTCAAATCGGGCATCACCATTTGCAACATGCAAGGAGGCTTGAGGGTTAGAGGTGCCAACTCCAACCCTCCTCGAATAGAGGGTGTCCCATGGTGCATTTGAGCTTCCCAGGCTCTGGCTGCCGACAGGCACCACACTCGTTGCAAAGGAACCCACGTTGAAGGTACCAAGCTCAACATCAGCTGCGGTTGCGCTTGTGGCTATGCGCTTCAGTGGTTGCCCTGCCTGGTAGAGAGTTGTGGCATACACGCCTTTGTATTGCAGATTGGACGCACCAAGACTTACACTATTATCAGTTGCAGGGTTGAAGTTGGAAGTTGGGGCAGAAACCCCACCGCTCGATTCAATCGGCACATTGCCCTTGTAAAACTCAGTTGCATAGACCTTCCCAAACCGATCAGTGCCGGAATATGACTTGGCTGTGTACATCACGCGGCACCCTATCATGATGGAAGAAAAGAGACTTGACAAGTGGTAGAGGAAGCTAGGTACAAGCAACAGGTTCATTTTGCTACTTGCATGCTGATGACCTCAAACAGGCCTCTTTGTGTCCCTTCCAAGCCTTCTTGATGCAGGACTTGGAGCAATAAGCTGCCTGCTTGCACTGGGAGCACCTTTGCTTGGTATGCTTGTTGCAGACCAAGCAGGAGTCAGTGACAAGAGACATTCTGCTAAGCAGCCTGTCTATCTGGGTATCATCAAGTTCTACTTCATTGCCTCTCACCTCCCACCCGTCTGATATTTCTGCAAACGGAAAGTCCTTCTCAGCTGGCAGCTCAACCCATAAGGAGCCATTGTCTCGGTTGCTGCGCCGATTCTGCACCTCAATCCTAAACAGGATTGAGCCTGGCACACGGTTTGGCACTGGATAGTCCTCAGCATCGATTGGTACAGCGATGATTGGGACGTCAGCTGGTGTTCTCTGGTCTGTGAACTTGGCCAGCTGTTTCCAGGTGAACGGCATCCTGCAGACATGATTATGTTGCTTGAAACCGAGCACTGAGACACTTTGCTGCATGCAAGCTAACGGAAGACATTGCACAGCTCAACAAGGCAGATTGCAGAGACAATAAAGAGGGACTCACAGGAAGAAGATGTCGTCAAGCTCCGATGCTAGCCTGGTGACATAAGGCCACGCCTCTTGCATCACGGATGCGACCAACAACTTGAATGGAGACAGAACGCCAGGCTTCGGCGCAAGAGCGTCAATACCACTCCAGTCCATCCCAAACCAGACCTGTAACCTGTCGTAGGCGCTTCGGGCATCCATTGTGTCAGTAAGGATTGTAGAACGGCCATGGTACAGGCTTGTATGCGCTCGACTCCCTCCTGAGCTGGACAGTGACTCAAGTGCTGACTCAGACGTTCGCAGTTCTCACTATGCTTCACACTGCTGCACCGCTTGTCACCAAGCGTCACTTGATTATACACGAAGGTGAGCTGTTAATCCGAAACTGACCGTCGATTACCCGCAGGTAGGCCGTCGATCTCGTACGGCCACCCGCGAGCACCTGTTGTTCGCCCAACTTCACCCATCGGTACACCGTCGATAACTGTCGATAGCCTAAGGGCTACCGTTCGATTATTTGGTTGCCAGACTCAGGTGGCTTAATAGCAACTACTGTCCCCACAGTCCGCCAAAGCAGCCGGAGTGCGCAACAGCAGCCTGACAAAAACGGGAGTGCAAGGCAGGCTCGTTCTCACAAGCACTTAAATCCCATCAGTGAGACAACATGGAGCCTGCCCCCGCAGAGCCCATCCTTGCTGCATCCAACGCCAGGTTCACAATGTTCCCAGTCCAGTACCATGAGCTATGGAAACTGTACAAGGAGGCTGTGGCTAGCTTCTGGACCACAGAGGAGGTGGACCTCAGTGACGACCTTCCCCACTGGGAGAAGCTCACAAGCAAGGAGAGGTTCTTCATCTCACGAGTGCTGGCATTCTTTGCTGCCAGTGACGGGATTGTCCTGGAGAACCTGGCCCTCAGGTTCTTTGCAGAGGTGCAGATTCCAGAGGCACGGGCATTCTACTCGATGCAGATGGCGATTGAGACCATCCATTCCGAGCAGTATAGCCTCCTCATCGATGCCTACGTGAAGGACTCTCAGGAGAAGGACGAGATGTTCCGCGCCATCGACTCCATCGCATGCGTCAAAAGGAAGGCGGACTGGGCAACCAAGTGGATCGAGTGCGGGCGGTCGTTTGGAGAGAGGCTCGTTGCCTTTGCATGCGTGGAGGGTATCCACTTCTTGGGGTCCTTCTGTGCCATCTTCTGGCTGAAGAAGCGGGGGCTCATGCCTGGCCTTTGTTTTGCCAATGAGCTCATCAGCCGCGACGAAGGGCTGCACACAGACTTTGCGTGCCAGCTCTACGAGACCCTCCAGGAGAAGCTGCCAGCTCAGACCGTGAGGGACATTGTCACTGATGTTGTGAAGATTGAGCAGGCTTTCATCAGTGAGGCACTACCCTCTTCATTGATCGGGATCAACGCTGGCCTGATGTCAGAGTACATTGAGTTTGTTGCTGACAGGCTCTGCCAGCAGTTAGGATACGAGGCAATTTACGGTACCGCCAACCCTTTCGATTTCATGGACCTTCAAAGCCTCGATGGCAAGGCAAACTTCTTTGAGAGGAAGGTCAGCGCCTATCAGCGGGCAGGGGTCGCCGGTGGACAGAGTTTCGCAGACATGTCAAATATTAGGACATATTATTTGGACTTCTAAAGGTCTATGTAACAAGATCAGTAGAATGAAGTCTCATAAGGACAAACGTGGACACAATATATTACTCAATTGGCCTCCTGGAGGGAGCCTGGTGCTCTGTGTGATCCATGCGATTGCCCATCATGCCATGCATGTCTGACAGGAGATTATGCAACAATGACGAATGAAGAGAATGTCATCATAGTGGAACGTAAGACATGCTTGATACACACACTTAGGGGAACGCATCTGCTCTTAGAGCACCAACCTACAGATGGATGCTGCTGCTATCACCGTTGCACGGGCCGCCAATCTGGCAACCTACGGGAACAACCACAACAAAGAAGCGCAAGGTCTGCGACCGATCTCGCGTGCACTTCAGGAGGACGGCCGTCTCAAGTTCCACAAGTCCTTTGAGAAGGCTCTTGCTGACTTCTGCGTATATATGCCCGGTTTCCCCGCGCTCGGAGTACAGCTCAAAACCACGGGTGTAAACTGGATACAGAACCGTACAGACTACGAGTACTACAGCTTCTCGCAAACTGGTGGATACGCTGGCCTGTTAATGATCTTCGTGGCCCTCCACACGCAGCCCCGCCGCATCTGGCTTGCGGATGGATCCAGGGTGACCCGCATGAAGGTTGTGATTCCAGTAACCCTCCGGCGGGCCGTGAGGTGTGACGAAATTCGAGAGATAAAGCTCGCCACCCTGGCAGACGCAATCTACACGATCTATATGGCAGCCCTATCAGGCTCTAGCAACTACGTGCTCCGCAGCCCAATGGACCACGAGAAGCCCACGGAACGAAACGCCTTGGCGGAGTACAATGCCTTCCAGCGTCTTCAGTGCTCATTACCGGTCCTTTTCATGGACCCTCCAGCCGAGTACCTGAGCTACGATTATATCGTGGATGGCAGAAGGTGGCAGCTGAAGTTGGCCCGATACAATCGTAAATCTGATTACTACTCCGTGGGCTGCCATAAGCAAGCAGGCAGAGTGAACGGGAAGTGCACACAGAGGCAGTACGAAGTCGGCGATTTTGATTTCCTCTGCATCCAACTCCCCGAGGCCCCCAAGACCTTGCACTGCTGCTACGTGATCCCGCAGAGCATATTGGCCGATCATGATCTCGTCGGCAACGCCACCAAGTCTTCCGGGGCTGTCCTTGTATACCCGGATCGACTGGTGACCGCCAGGAATGCTGTGCACAAACAGGGCGTTCACTGGACGGAGACTTATCGCATCGATTTTGCCCGTGACCCGTTGGCACAATTGGCGCGCATTACACAGGGAGCATATCAAAGGGCAGGGGTCAGCAGTCAGAGCTTCGCAGACATGTCAAACATTAGCGACGAGGAGTTTTGAGGTGTTGTTAAGAAGAGACAAATTCTTTCCAACATTACAACCATAAGTCATATGGCAGCTGAGTTCAAACACGTGCCACTTACCCCAGAGACCAAGAAGCCTGCTCCTCCTCCACCTTACAGCCCGCCTCCTAGCCCTGTGCCCGCCAGAGGCCTCAGATTCTTCCGTAGGATTCATGAGCAAACGGCTGCTGTCACAGGTGGTGCATGGCAGGCAGTATCTACAGAATTCATTGCAACGTTCATGTTTGTGTACTTGGGTGTGGGATCAGTAATTGCATGTGGGCTGAGCCCCGACTCTAGGATCCATAGCACATCGGCACTCCTCGCATCGGGCCTTTCAAACGGCCTCGCACTGTCAGTCGGCACCGCCTTGGGTGCCACCAATGGGGTGGGGCACTGCAACCCATCCTTGACATTTGCCTATGCCGTAACGGGACGGTTGAGCATGCTACGAGCCATGTACATGATATTGGCACAATGCGCCGCATCCTTTGGAGCGACCGGGCTTGCAGTAGTAGCATACCCTGTCTCCCTTTCTACCAACCGCCTCCATGCATGGTCGCTCGAAAGGGCTTTCTTGCTGGAACTGATTGCAGCATGCATCCTCACAATCACATCCATGGGGCTTCGAGCCAAGAAGGGATTGCAAAACCCTGCAGCTCCTGTTATCATGGGCTTTCTGATGACGGCAAGCATGGTGGCGGTGTCTCCATTTGCTGATGGAACAGTGAATCCCGCACGGAGTCTTGCGGTTGCGGCATTCACGGCAGGTTGGAAGGATGCTTGGATCCATGTGATTGCACCACTGAGCGGGTCCATAGTTGGTGCCGTGCTTCACGAACTCATGATTGAAAGTACTGGTGAACCGTAGACTTTCACTGCCTACTTCCTCAATTTCTTCTCACTTATTGCAGGAGGTTGATGGCCCTGATACAAAAACAGGCTCGCAACAAGAAAGGTTCTGGAATTCAGAGCGGGAAATCTGACAAACGCGCTGTATTAGAGTTTCAGTACCGGAGAGCTGTGAAGAACAAGGAAAAGTGGGCCAAGGAGAAGCTTCAAAGTAGGCTGAGCGCAAGAGAGAAACAGAAAAAGAACAAAGAGGTTCAAGATGCAATTAATGCTGGACAGAAGAGGCGGCAGAAACTCAACGAAGAAGAGGCGGCTACCGTGCGCAGACAGGTTGCACTGGGAGAGAGAGCTGCAATGGGACGGGAGCTCAGCAAGCAAGGGAAGGGGAAGAAGAAGAACAATCCCAACCAAAACACGGGAACTCAGGACGTGAGCCACATTGAAATGGTTCAAGGACTCAATAGACAAGGCAAGCAGAACAGTCCTGGGCAGTCTGCAAAAGCGCTTGAACCGACCGAGACAGCCCGGAACAACCCTCTCTTTGAGAGCAACGTGCATAATGGGCAGCAATCTGCGACCCTCTTGGCACCTCAACAGATGCTTGGAGGATCCGTGGTGACCAGTCACGACAATCCACTCTTCAAACCGGGCACCCCAGACGTGAGGAGCAGCTTACGGCTCCTTAAGAGCTCTCAAGGGAAGAGGTCGTTGAGGCCAGTTGCTACCCTGCCCGACTACCTAGAACCGCAGCCGCCTGCCGCGAGAAAACGACGGGATGAAGCACGGACAATCGACAACGACATCTACAACAGTTTACAAGAGATGGATCTAGCAAAGATAGCAGAAAACGAGGAGAGGGAGGTGGTAGAACGTCTCGAGCAACTCCGATTCGCCCGTCCTGCAATCCCGAAACTTCGACGTCGCCCCTTTTTCTATGAAGTCGGTGCTGCAGTGTCCTCGCCCGACGAGAACGGGTGGGATGATCATGCGGAGGCTAAGCTGATTGAGACCGAACTTCCGATGCCCCGCAAGGGTCACCCGCTCACTGATCGCATCTACCTGCGTGAACGGCATCCAAGAGCTAGTGAGAATCTGCCTGCCCCGTACAAATCGACGGCCCTGCCTTATCGGCCACGTGCTACAAAGCTGCCAGTTTTTGACACTCGCAACCTACCAGTACCCAGCAGTATTGTGGTGCCCCCGCTGAGGAAAAGGCGCTCTACGTGGTACGAGGATCTTCCACCTACAAGCAATCTGAACGTCCCTACCTTGCGGACTAGGAGGGCTGGTCATCCTGTTGATATCCTTCCACCCACAACCATTGATGTTGCCACCACACCCCAAAGAACTCGACATGAATTGCTTGTGAAGGAACTTCCGCCACCTAACTACAACATGACCACTCCGCTCAGAGAACGTCGTCAAGGACTTGTGAACAATGAACTATTCCCGACACACAACAACCGCTCTCCCGGACCCCCTGACGACCTGCCGTCATTGAGTGGTCCTTTTGTCACGCCGCTCCGGATACGGCGTGCCGAAGACATGCTCACAGTCGCATCAACTTCCAGTGGCCTCCTACCCCCAATCCAAGCGAGAGAGTTTAAGAACCTTCGAGGCAAGAGAGGGCCAGTAAACAATCTGGCCTTCAAGAAGCAGAACAACGCAGGGCCCCAACCGGACATTGGGCCGACAGGTGCATTCCCTCAGGGACGGATCACAGGAAAGCTGGAAAGGTCGCTTGCATTCAAGAAGCGTAACAATCAGAGGCCTCTCCTGAAACATGGCTCGACCATGGCCAAAAAGCCAAGCAGCTGGTCTCCGTTTGGGAGCCGAACAAAAGGGTACACGAGGATTGAGACAGACTCTGGAGGTGACGGCAGCTCGAAACAGGCGTCCGGCTGGTTCAAGGGCTGGTCAAAAAGGGGAGGGTACCCGAGTACTCCAAAACTTGATCCCAACAAGCAAGCCCCCAATGGAAGATTTGACAAGTCCCAGCACAAGAGCTCAAGGGACTCGGGGGGTGACGGGAGCTCGAAACAGGCGTCCGGCTGGTTCAAGGGCTGGTCAAAAAGGGGAGGGTACCCGAGTACTCCAACACTTGATTCCAACAAGCAAGCCCCCAATGGAAGGTTTGACAAGTCCCAGCACGAGAGCTCAAGGGACTCGGGGGGTGACAGGAGCTCGAAATAGGCGTCCGGCTGGTTCAAGGGCTGGTCCTCCGATCCTTGGGGTCCAAGGCAAGGTTACAGTAGTGACCCCAACAAGCAAGTTGCAGTAGAAAGTGCCCAGAAGCCCAGGCAACAGCAAGAGACCACGAACATGCAGGGTGCTAACAAGCAGGCCGCGAAAGAACGCTCTGAGAAGGCTCAGAAGCTTAAGAATGATTTGAAACGGGCAGAGAGAGAGGAAAAAACTTGGTTGCAAAAAGAGAAGGAAGAACGGGGTATCAGACAATTGCAAGAACAGCTGGATAAGAAGATGAGATCCAAGCAGATAAGGAATGGTTGGGACGGAACTCAGAAGCTCATAGACGAACAGAACAGGAAAGAAAGAGAGAGGCGAGATGCACAGCAAGCGACCACGAGCTTCGGAACCAACCCCGTATTGCCAGGCAAGCCCATGCTTGCAGCCACACAGCCGGGAAGGCAGAATGGCACTCGCTATCCACAAGAAGCACTGCAAGCAGCTGTTGTGACCGCACCAAGCACTGAGCTCAAGTTGCCAGGCAAGCCCGTGCTTGCAGCCACTCAGCTGGGAAGGTCAGAGATGCAGACTGTCACTCGCTATCCACGAGAAGCACTGCAAGCAGCTGTTGTTAAACCACCTGGCACTGAGCTCGAGCTCGTCAGCCACACAGCACCCACAAGAGGCTCTGGCTGGACAGCATTCTCACCCAATGATAAACGGTCCCTTTACTATGGCAAGGCAGCAAAACAAGTTGCTCGTAGAAAGGTTCCCACCACGACAATGCACATTCCCATACCACAGTCACCCGCACCAGTTGCTGCCACCACAATCCTCACAAAGCAGGGAGGTGGTTCTGTGGAAAGACTGCCCCTCTCACTGTCATCCATGAGAGGGTTGCCATGGAGCGACCCAAGATGCAGGGGAGTGAATCAGTAGCACTGAGAATGCTCATCGAGCGGGAAAAGATGCACATTTCTCAAAAGCGTGCGGCAATTGTTGCACTTGATAGATTGCTTTCAAGGCTCACCTGAGCGCTCGGCAGTTTGCAGATGACCTTTCCAGGTTAGTAACACAATACACCGGAAACCTGTCAATGTCCACAAGCAGCTCCCTTCGCTCACGCTTCTTTGATGCAACAAGGATGACACATGTGGCTGCTGCCATCAGCATGATGAGGCACCATGCACGGTCCATTGCCATAGAATAGCAAAATTGTTGGACGGACAATTTGGGGATTCCGCATGTCTTTCTTATTGGACCACCGACAATGTTTGGTAGCGGCGGTCAGCCAGGTGATGGGTCTGCAAACATTTGTCGAACCTGTGTATGAAATGACACGTAAAACCTTTACTCCTGTGCGCTTCTTCTCTACAACATCCCCAAATTGTGTCAGATAGGGTTTATGGTCCCAATGAGTGCCCACTGTGCTAGCCGCGGCGCCGCACAAGTGCGAGGGTGGCCTTTTCGAGCCCGGTTCTGAGTCAGTTAGGGTTCGGAGGTACCGGTACGAGCATCGAGGGGGGTCAGTGGGTCCCTACAGCGGCCTACAATGTTTCATTTTTGTGGGGGTATGGCCTTACATACATACATATTGGCCTTTGGATTCCACCAGAGAAACTCTGTACTACTAATCTGTTATATTCTCTCCTCCGAAAAGTAGATTATAATATTGTATCTTTTTGAGGGTATGGCCTTACATACATACATATCACCAATTGGAAAGCAAAGGGGGAACTCTGTACTACTAATCCGTAATAATTCCTTCCCTGGAGAAGAAAGAAAAAATAACAGATTGTAGTACAAGAGTCCTGGGTTCCCCCGCTGCTTGCCAATATGTATGTATGCAAGGTCCCTTGGAAGAAAAACAAAGAGTTTTGGTATGGGGATTGAAGCCCTCAAATCCGCCCTTTGTATGACTTTCAAGCTGGCGCCGCCGGGCGTGGGTAGGCAGACCATGGCACACTCAAGCCACAGGCTGCCAATCTGCACTCATCCAGGGCCAACTTTCCTTCCTCCATATTGCTTTCATTGTGGCCTGCAGCTCAGAATGTTCCTCTCTGTTCAACATGGCCTCCACTGCTCAGATCTCAGCAACTTACAGGCGCTGCACGCCCATCGAGCACATCCGAACTCGACCAGACTCCTATGTAGGCTCCGTTGTCCCAGAGCAGACCAGGACCTGGGTCATCGAGGAAGGGCGTGCCAAGGAGAAGGAGATCACTGTCGTCCCTGGCCTCTACAAGATTGTGGATGAGATCCTGGTCAACGCAATCGACCAGACAAAGGTGGACCCGACCGTCGACTCCATCAAGGTCGAGGTTGATGTGGAGGCAGGGCTCATCAGCGTGACCAACAGCGGGCGAGGCATCCCTGTTGTTGAGCACGACTCTTACAATATGTACATACCTTAGCTGATCTTTGGCAACCTCCTGACCTCCTCAAACTATGATGACTCAGAGTAGCGGACAACCGGCGGGCGCAATGGGTACGGGGCCAAGCTGACCAACGTCTTCAGTCAGTCCTTTGCTGTTGAGACCCTGGACATAGAGAGAGGCATCAAGTATTGCCAGGTCTGGGAGGACGGGATGTCCAAGTGCAAGCCGCCAAAGATCTCCCGCCCCAAGAACCCCAAGCACGGCTACTGCAGGATCTCCTTCAAGCCCGACCTAGCTGTCTTCTCCATGGAACGCCTGAACGACGAGTTTGTCAGCCTCCTTCACCGGAGGGCCCACGACGCCGCAGCCTGCACGCGGCCGAGCGTGAGGGTGTCTTTCAACGGCAAGAACCTCCCGTCCAAGGGTGGATTTGAGAGCTACTGTGAGCTGTTTATCGGCCCCAAGAAGGAGGCGCCGCGCGTGTTCTTCCGCCCAAACGAGCGCTGGGAGGTTTGTGTGGCTGCTTCCGCGGACGGCTTCCAAGCCATCTCGTTCGTCAACGGGGTGCACACGGCTCTGGGCGGCACCCATGTGGAGCACGTGGTTGCGCCGCTCACCCGGAGGGTTGCCGAGACGCTGCAGGGCAAGGTGAAGGGGGCTACTATCCGGCCAGCACATGTCAGGGAGAAGCTGATGCTGTTTGTGAATGCGACGCTGGTCAACCCCACCTTCAGCTCTCAGACAAAGGAGATGTGCACACTGAAGGTGAGCCTTTTTGGGAACACGTGCGACGTGCCTGACGAGGTGGTTGGCAAGGTGGTGAGCAAGCTAGGGATTGCTGAGGCGATCGTCGCAAAGGCGAGGGAGCGAGAGGCCAAGACCCTGTCACGAACGGACGGGAACAAGACGGGCGTCATCAGAGGGATCCCAAAGCTGGAGGATGCCAACAAAGCAGGTGGCAGGCGGAGCTCCGAATGCACGCTCCTGGTGGTAGAAGGGGACAGCGCGCGTGCTTTCGCCATGGCAGGGCTCTCGGTGGTTGGCAGGGATCTGTATGGGGTCTTTGCCCTGCGGGGGAAGATTCTCAACTGCAGGGACGCCCCAATCAAGGCCATCGCTGAGAACAAGGAGATTGCCAACCTCAAGCAGATCCTGGGCCTCCGAGAGGGCCACAAGTACAAGTCGCTCTCCGAGCTGCGCTACGGACGAGTCATGCTCCTCACGGATGCTGACTGCGATGGCACGCACATCCGGGCGCGCTTCCTCAACTTTGTTGAGTTTGGCTGGCCGGAACTCATCGAGGTGAGCCACACATCCAGTGAGGGCTCTCTGACAATGGTATGCTGGATTTCCGCAGTCTTGTATCTGCTCGTGCCTTTGTCTGCCGCCGTCCCTGCCTCCTTCTCCATTCAAAAGTACAACGATTCTTTTGCAGCTGGGGTTTGCGTGGCACCTGAGGACCCACGTGGTCAAGGCGTTCAAGAACAGCCAGACGCGTGCGTTCTTCACGGAGCGACAGTACAGGGAGTGGGCACAGACGAGCGAGGCCCGTGGTACCTGGCGCATCAAGTTCCTGAAAGGTGTGGGCTCCCAGGGACTCGGTACCTCCCGGGGCCAGTCAACCCCTCCCTTTCGTCTTGGACCGGCTGGAAACCATAGCGCATGTAGAGGGCCTGTAGCCTGCTCAAGAGTGCGTCTTCGCCTGTAGGCTGCTCTTCGGCCAAAGGATAGCAGAAAAGCTGCACTTCACTGATACCGAGGGAGTACATGTGCGCGAGTGCGGTGTTCAGCAGCAGAAACGAGAGTCCCAAACCCCGGAACGGTCTGGCGACACCCATAAGGCTTATGTATGCACTTGTCTCAAAGAGCTGATAGTTGAGGTATGCAATCTTTTGAGGAATGGCTCTGATTGCTGCGCCTGTGGTGAGCAATTCGATGGTCCCAGCAGCAAAATCATGGCGAGTCCTGACCTTCTGTTGGCTCAAATCTGAAACCGGCACCTGGACAAGCGGCTCTAGGCGGGCCACCATTGCCATATCTCTTGACCCTCTACCCAAAGAGCACTGTCCTAAGCCCATGGGCGATGCAGGTCTGGGCACGTCCACTGCCAAGGATGCCAAGGATATCTTCAGCAACATGAGCAAGGTCACGTACACGACCGACCCCGGGGCGGCAGCGGCCATGCAGCTGGCCTTCCAGAAGGCAAGGGCAAACGACAGGAAGAGGTGGATTGTTGAGGCGATCGCAAAACCAGCGCCGGAGCCAGTGGGAGAGCGGGTGACCCTCTCGGAGATGGTGGACACCGAGCTGGTCAACTACTCCATCGCCAATGTCCGGCGCTCCATCCCCAGTGCAATCGACGGTCTGAAGCCCTCGACGAGGAAAATTGTCCACGTCAGCATCAAGAGAAACGTTCGGGAGGAGTTCAAGGTGGCCCAGCTAGCCGCAGCGGTCGCAGAGGGGAGTGCATACCATCACGGTGAGAAGCGAACCTCTTGCGCAGATGGAGCGCATGAGCAAGTGATTTCAACCCCCCTCCTATAGTCAAAAAAGGGGGGTCCCAAATTCTCAAACACTTTTCAAAATTAGTCTCCATCCGTGTTTATGCGTGAGCTTGCCGTGACCTACAAACCTATGCTTTCTTACCGGAATGGTTATAGTGTGCTGGGAACTACCAAGTCTTAGGTCTTAGCTCTTCCTTCAGGGATGGCTTCAACACGCGTGCGCGCATAAGCAAGTCATTTCAACCCCCCTCCTATAGTCAAAAAAGGGGGGTCCCAAATTCTCAAACACTTTTCAAAATTAGTCTCCATCCGTGTTTATGCGTGAGCTTGCCGTGACCTACAAACCTATGCTTTCTTACCGGAATGGTTATAGTGTGCTGTGAACTACCAAGTTTTAAGTCTTAGCTCTTCCTTCAGGGATGGCTTCAACACGCGTGCGCGCACAAGCAAGTGATTTCAACCCCCCTCCTATAGTCAAAAAAGGGGTCTCCCAAATTTCAAACACTTTTGAAAATTGCGCTCCATCCGTGTTTGTGCGTGAGCTTTCCGTACACTACAGACATTTAATTTCTTACTGGAATGGCTATGGAACGCTGTGAACCGTAAGTTTTTGGTGCAGGGATGGCTTAAACACACGTGCGCGCATAAGCAAGTGATTTCAACCCCCCTCCTATAGTCAAAAAAGGGGTCTCTCAAATTCTCAAACACTTTTGAAAATTGCGCTCCATCCGTGTTATGCGAAAAGGTTGGCCGTTGACTACAATCAGACAACCCTTCGGAAATTGGAAGTGTTGAGGGTCTGACGGGTGAACGGGTTTCTCGCACCCTCGTGCAACCTTTGTAATGCGTCTTTGTGATACGCCCTCGGAGCCTTTCCACCCCTCAACTCGCTTTCAAGGTAGATGTAGTTCCTCCGGTTTGCGGGGCGCTTGTTCAAGGCCATGAAGTTTGTGTTGATGAAGTCCGTATCATTCGAGACGGCGCCTGCTCGACCGTTCCGCACACTAGCCATGTTAAGGCGCCTATGACAAGGAGCAACCTCCATAGTTGCAGGAGTCTCGTAACCGACGACACTGCGAGGCCCTTCGGAATGCAACGCCCAGACAACGAGGTCGCTCAATGACCACTCATCGTGCATAGGAGGCTCACCTGACTCCACGTAAACGACTTCAAAGAGCTCTGGTGCTACCAACCGAGCGGACGTGGTGGCACCGTTCTCATGCTGCAGCTGGATGACGTCTCCAACGTCCATATAACGCAAGGTCTCCCAGATCTCCCTCTCCATTCAGCATAACACAGAACCAGAATTTACTTTTTGTTGCAGGTGAGGAGAGCCTGAGCGGCGCCATCATCAACCTTGCGCAGACGTTTGTGGGATCCAACAACCTCAACCTGCTCGAACCGGTCGGAATGTTTGGAACACGCCTGGCCAACGGGAAGGACAGTGAGTGCACTGCGTTTGAGCCGTGTTCAAAACCTACGTGCCAATGAAGGACAGCATGTCAGCCAAGTCACTGGTGGGAGCCCCTCACTACGCCACCCTGGCATCATGTTACAGGCCTGTGGTGGCAACCAAAGCGCTCGGCATGCAAGATGCCGCGTGTCTTGCAGCTCATGGCGCAGCCCTCTCTGCATGCTGGTACATTGCCAATGACTATCTCGAACGTCAAAAGCTGAAGGAGAAGCGCAGGCAGCTCCTTAAGAAGCAACTTGGGCGACCGCAGGTGCCGCGCCGAGATACCTCTTCACGCACCTGACAAAGGCTGCGCTCTGCGCCTTCCATCCTGCCGACGCCCCCCTCCTGACCTACCTCGAAGAGAACGGCAAGGCCATAGAGCCGGCCTACTTTGTCCCGACCGTGCCCTTGATCCTCCTGAACGGTGCCTCCGGCATTGGCACTGGCTTCTCCACGTACGTCCCCAACCACGCTCTGGAGGACGTCATCGCCAACATCCGGGCTATGCTGCAAGGCCTGGACCCGGTCGAGATGCACCCTTCCTGGGCTGGCTTCAAGGGGACCGTCCGGGCGACCGAGAAGGGAGAGTACGTCGTCTCCGGGGTGTACGAGAGGATCGACAGCAGCCGCATCCGCATCACTGAGCTGCCAGTTGGGACGTCAATCGACGCCTACAAGGCTTTCCTGGAGAGCGACAAGCTTGGGGCCCGTTCCATCAAAAACGACTGCACGGACGCGGTTGTTGACTTCACCGTGGAGTTCAGCACCGGGAGGCTCGAGGCCATCCTGCCTGACATCGAGAGGGAGCTCTGCCTCACCAGGAAGCTGAGCACCAACAACATGCACCTGTTCGACTCGAACGGCCACATCAGGCGCTTCGAGACCGTGACCGACATCCTGCGGGAGTTCTTCGGGGTGCGGCTGAGCCTCTACGAACGCCGCCTGCTGCACCTGATCCGACAAAAGGAAGAGGAGCTGGCTGCCTGCTCCTACCGGGCGCTCTTTGTGACGAGTGTGCTTGATGGGGGTGTCCGACTCCTGAAAGCCAAGGTGGCGGACGTCCGTGCCGACATGAGCGCGGCAGGGATCCCCGAGACCTACCATCAGCGGTTCATGTCGCTCCCCCTGTCAAGCCTGACGGCGGACGAGGTGGAGAGGCTCTTGGCAGCCAAAGAGGCCCTGGTGTCAGCCCTTGACCTCCTCAAGGGCAAGACGGCCCCGGCTCTGTGGGAGGAGGACCTGCTTGAGTTGGAGAGAGCGCGGAAAATTGGAGCATAGATAGCCTGGTTGCTTGGTATGGACTTTGGAGTGTGCGCAGATGCCTCATGTAACGAGAGGGTTTACCAGAAACACGACCGGTACTGCATGAAACACTTTCAGATCTCACCGAATCAAAGAGTGCGCGACTTTGACATTACTGAGAAGACCAGCATGGATGCCATCATGAAGGACCTGCACGCTCTAACACGATACACGTGGTACTACAAGCCCGACGAGGATGACGTCCAAGTTGCAGAGTTGTCCTTGCAATACGCTCTGCAATGGAAGGCTGTGAGCTACGATGCAATTGCCCGCCTGGCCGTCGTCATGCAGTACCTCTATTGCACAATGGCGGCCCTCGAGCCCGTTGACGTGTACCTAAACCCTTACTCTCTCCCGGAAGAGCCCGATTATCACCCACTCGGGGAGACCCGATCGTCCCTCATGTACCTCATAGAGAGCTGCGGGATCCACGCTGCAAAGTTCTCGGGGCTCTCTAGGAGCCTCCCTTTGGTTGCGTTTGCCAGGCGCCGCTGCTACAGGCAGGCAGCAGACGTCTGGTGGAAGAGCAGGTTGAAGCTCGAGGCTTTTCACAAGGCCCTCGGCTGGCTGTGGTTCACCCTCAAGCGCTTCACACAGGCAGCCTCTCTTGCCCGCAGAGAGGGCCTCGCAGCAAGGGAACGCACTGTCCTGCGCATGGATGCTGAGGTGCTCGGTGGGCTTGCCGAGACCCTGTTCAAAACTGCATTGCTGCACTACCAAGAGCTACTCACAGTCTGAAAGATTTTGTGGCATTGGTTACATAGAGGATGCAAGTGACAATCGGGGACTTTGTAGACAAGTGGTTGGCGGAGTTGCGTGACGCACAATCGGAGGCTAAGAAGCACGAGTATAGCAGCGATACACGCCTGTACTATGAGAAGCACGTGCAGGATTTGCTGGACGAGTTGGCAAGGGAGCTCGTGACTTACATTGAGCACCCACCGGGGTACGAGAGCAACGAGAAGGCCGGGATAACTGCCAAAGATGGCAAACTCGTTGTCGCTCTGGATGGCGACGATTACAACACGGCAAGCGAGGCGACCCGCAGCGCCCGCTTGAGCTTTGTGATGGGAAAGATCCTCAAGGAGAAGGGCACTCTGGCGCAGGGTGGCGATCTCAGCCTATACAATGCGGTGAGCAATCTCTTGAAACCATCGCGCCTGAGCCCTCCGCCTGACAGGCTTTCGCTCAACCCAGAGTACGTTGACTTCAACACAAAGAGCCTTCCTGACGCGCAAGAGGATGGTCAGACCCACATCTTCTACGATCCAGCAAACGTAAGCGACAACCTGGAGCTGAAGAAAGTCTTCCGATCAAGGGTGAACCTCGAAGATGTTGATCAGTACAGGAATGCCAATCACCGCTTTGGGACTACCTTGACGAATCGGTTCATGCACCCCGACTACCGGACACTTGACAAGCGCCTTGCAAACAGGGTTCCCCTCATGAACAAGAACACGTTTGAGAAGGGTAAGAGCAACGTGAAGGCTTGGGTTGCCAATCGGACTGCTCTTCCTCTAAACAAGAACGCATTCGAGAAAGGGAAAGGCAACATGAAGGCTTGGGTTGCCAGTCAGAACAAGCGAGTCAACAAGCAGGCTGATGTTGCGCTAAATAATCAAGGCCTGACTGCAACCGCTGAGGACAAACGCCTCATTGCTGAAAGCATACCTTTGGGAGAAGAGAGCACTGCAAAGGCTATTGCAAACGTGGCTCTAACCACCAACGGGGGCCCTCCCCCAGTGAAAGCAGTCAGTGGAGCCCTCAAGGACATTCTCCAGCCAGGACAGGTGACACCAGAATCTGTCGCAACAGTCTTCAAGCAGAACAACCTCGTAGCTTCCAAAAATGGTCACGAAAGTGTTGCAAATGTTGCAACAACAGGAAACCCATCGGCCGTGCTTGCCGCGGTGGCGCAGGTTGCAACATTTCCTGCTGGTGGTGAGGCCCCAACTGAGGCAGTGGTTTCGGCCGCCAACGCAATCAACAAGTCGGCAAAGGCCAATCACCAAACTCCCAACTTTGCAAACTTTGATAGGTCGCAGCTGGGCACGGGCACAAAGACTGGTCCGAACCTCAAGACTCCCAACCAGTTGAATGCAAAGGGCGGCTCAAACGCTTCCAAGATGGCGGCAACTCAGGTTGCCCTGATTGGCAACGGATTCAGAGCAAACGGCCCGGAGGGACTCGCAAACATTGCAAAAAAGGCCGGAGCTCCAAATAAGGATCTGCGTGAGACAATTCAGAACAACACCACAGGTGCAAGGAACAATGTCCAGGTTGCAAATGCGGCAGAGGCTGTAAAGGTGCTCACAGGGTCTAAACTGTCAGAATCAATGGCTGCAAACGGGCTCAACAAAATCAACACCAGCAAGAATCCTTTCGTGTCCAAGAACAACAATAAGAACAAAGGAATCTCAGGATCGAACCTGTCAAACTCAATGGCGGCAAACGGATTCAACAAAACAAACACCACAAAAAATCCCTTTGTGACCAAGAACAACACGGCCAACAAACCAATTGTAAGTTCAACCGGGATGGGCTGGAAGTAACAAAGTGCGTTCCATCTGTGGCAGTTTCTCCTCTGTAGCTTGGAGGAAACCATGCTTCCAACCGATTGCATCCGAGGCATCAAGATGAGGATTGCTGCCCGAGTGCCTACACCCCCGGGGGCCATCTTCTACACACTCCGAAGCGACGCGACCGGGATGTTTGACTCCTTTTACCGGCTCCGTTACGACCAGAGGGCCCTGGGCCGCTGCCTGATTGACCCAAGTAGCTGGACGATCATGCATGATTTCGGCCAAACGTGCCCTGGGGAGGACCCAAGGTGCATCTCGCACAGGGGCACGGACTACCTGCTGGACAACACCTGGGGCAGCAGCAGCTTGATCGTGCCAGCTGACAACTTCAAAGTGTGCAAGCTTCCCTCAAAGGGCAAGAACCTTAGCCTCATCTCTCACGGTGACGAGCTCCTCTGCATCGAGTGGCTCCGACCCCTGACCGTTCTGTCAACGAGCGAGTCGCCCTACCCTGATACTTGGAGGCGGACAAGGGCCCGGAAGGAGATTCCGGACTACAGCCTGCGCGGTGGCACCCCTGGTTACAAGACCCCGGTCGACGGTGTATATGTCGGCTTTGGGCACCGGACGACGGCAGGCCCCAAGGGTGAGGTCAAACACACCCCATTTGCATGGCGGCTGGATGTCAAGAATTGGCAGATGAGCTTTGAAGAGGTGGGGGGGCAGCTCGAGCGGGCTATCACATACCCCACCTGTGTTGCACATCACAACGGGAGGCTCTACTTGGTCACTGCAGAATCCCACCTTCCCTGGTTCGGTGCCCTTCAGGAATTCTTTACATGCATATATGAGCTGCATTTCGGAGAAAATACAGCGGTATAGGAGGCACATGGGGCTGTGCATTGGGAAGCAGAGAGAGCATGGGACTCAAGATCAACAACCATCGCCAGAGCAGGTTGTGCCAAGGGCAACCCTGTCAAACAAGGAGTTTGGATTCAACCAGCACTTTAAGGACATGTACACGGTCAAGGAGGAGATTGATCGCGGATCGTTTGGCAGGACGCACATCGCAGAGGCCAAGTCACAAAAGGGTGGCACTGTGGCCGTAAAGATCATCCCAAAGAGCTCCATGATCAGTGAGGCCGCAATTATGGACGTGCACAGAGAGGTCCAGATACTGAGCCTGCTGTCAGGCCACGAGGGGATAGTGGAGTTTATGGCAGCTTACGAGGACTTGATGAACGTGTACATTGTGATGGAGCTATGCCAAGGTGGTGAGCTGATGGATCACATCCTCAGCAACCAGGGGCCATACAAGGAGGCAACCGCAATCGAGCTGGTGTGGCAGATCCTCACGGCAGTTGCCTACATGCATGAGAAGAAAGTCATCCACCGCAACATCAAGCCTGAAAACTTCATCTTTGCCAACGAGAAGGACAACATCATAAAAGCGATAGACTTTGGGCTCTCCTACCGGTGTGAGGAGAACGAAACTATCAAAGAAGTGGTGGGCAGCCCATTCTTTGTCGCACCAGAGGTCCTAAAGCAGGCCTACAATCTCAAGGCAGACGAGTGGAGCGTGGGGATCCTGACCTACATCCTGCTGATTGGAACACGGCCATTCTTTGGGAGGACGGACTCGGAGATCTTCAAGGCCGTGCTGAGGGACGAGCCTGACATTGACAACGCGGACCTCAGCCTGCCCGCAAAAGACTTTCTGAAACGGCTGCTCAACAGGAACGTTGAGTCCAGGGCAACAGCAAGAGAAGCCTTGGATCACCCTTGGCTCAGAGATAGATCCGCAATGCCCGTTCAACAGGGCTGCGGCAGTAATGACACATGCTCCGCCCTCGATAGCACTCGTCACATATGCAATGACCGCACGGAATCATTGCAAACCTGACCTGGGCGTGAGTGCAGACCGGGCACTCCCCGCATATGTCTGGATTGATTGCCCGTTTCATCTTGCTCGTCACCTCGTAGAAAACAGCCACTTTTGCGTGTACTTGTTCCAATCGGATTACCCTCTCAGTCAACTCCCTTTCCAGCCCGTTCTTCACATCTTTGACAAGGCTTTGTATGACTTCCATGGCTGAGGCCTCGTGCACGTGATGCATGACCTTGGACAAACCCTCCTCAAAGGTTAGCAGCTTCCGGCGGGCCTCTTCGACCTCCTTGCCACAGGCCTCCTGCTCTGTCTGCAAGGGCTTTATGAGGCGATCGACCTCCAGGGAAGCCTTGGCAAATGCGGCAGCATTGGGCAGGTCCGCAAGAAACATCCAGTCGTTGATCGAGTTTGATTCCAACAGCGAATAGTCCTCCTGGCCATTGTAAGCTGGCGTCATCTCCATGAGAGGCCTCGCGACTTTTGGGACCCACTAGAAACGTGCAGAGGCCCCCACACTTGTCAGGCGCTGGATCCCTTGGTTGGGCTTCAGTGCCTGGTCCCTCACGCGCCGCATCATGCCAAGCTTGTTGAGGAAGTCCGAAAACGAGAGATCGCATGTCACATAAACAGATAGAGAATTGGAGATGGACAGGACCGGCAACACGGGGTCCCGGAACAGCCGAGAGACCCGCCCTAGCAGCTTGCTCTTGCGGCTGTCACGTGCCACCTCGAGCTCGTGCTTGACCGATGCCCGAAAGGTGTGCATCCCCTTGTCTTGGAGAAGCCACATCGTGTCGAGCTGCATGTCGGATACGTCCCCAACTCCCGAGAGGTCGTCCAATCGGTTGCATCTCAAGGTGGATGCACCATGATGAGCATCACAGCTGTCAGGAATGTCCAACTTTGCAGGCTCTTTGACCGACCAATCCACCAAGCTGCAAAAGCTGCCTCCGTAGAGGTCGACCTGGCCCCTGTGACGCACCTGCCCACCCGCCTCAGTTGTTGCTGTACATGTGGCAGAGAGGAGCACGCGCAAGACTTTTGTACTGCATCCGGGATCCTCTCCGTCTGCTTCCCCGAGTGAAGCTTTGAGTGTCAGGTCAGCCACGGCACCCCTTGATGATCCTTTTGAGGTCGAACTGAAGCACTGGATGATGTAGCTCACGCCCCTCGCGAGCTGCCCACGTCTCTGAAAGGCTTGCATCGACGGGTTCTGCCTCACGCTTGCAACCCTAGCCCGCTTCCACTCTCGGACGAGCTTGTATCCAGACCTCTGCCAAGCACGCGACTGGGTGTAGGCGTCAACTTTAGGGGCTTCAGGCTCCTCAACCATGTGGACACGAACCTTGATGGGGCTGTGGGGGTGAAAGGTGACCGAGACATCCCAGGACCCTTCCAAACCAAGTCCGAGGAGCCGTGACATGTGAGAGGCCTCTACAAACCGAAAGTCCATACGGTTGGCATTCTTGTCACGGCTCAGGCTGCTCTCCTCGGGGTCGTGAGAGGTTGCGTTCTTCCGGGCCTCTTGAGAGTACGGCCCATCTCGGAACCAGTACAGGAAGCAACTCTCTTCAAAGGCCTGCTCCTCGTTTTTTGGGAGCTCTCCCTTTAAGCGCGCATCGATCAGATGGTCAACGGCCATCCCGTCCCCAGCGTTGGCTGCTGCAATGAGCCGACCCCACTCCATCTGTCATACTGTACAAGAAAAACAGGTTGCAGAATTCTCGTCCCACTTTTTTTTGTGATGCCATTCCACGGCGATGGCTTCTCAAGTCAAGAAGTACAGGCTAGAGCGGAGGCAGGTCATGAAGTCTGAGAAGGACCACACCTCGTCGGGCCTCAGGAAGGATGACCTTATGTACAAGAGTCATGATGGAAAGTCCAGGACTATCGTGTCCCGCAAGAGGCACGAGAATGCCTTGAACAATCCTAAACTCCAGGCGTGGTTGGACCACGTCAAGAGCGTTTACGAAGACATCAAACCCCTCGGCAAGACATACAAGGATGCCATGCAGCTCGCTGCAGCCACCTACAAACGGTGAAGTACCATGCCACTTTTTCTACCCGTATCACAGAACGATGATTCTCTTCCTTGTGCTCCTATCTTTAAGCAGCTGCGTAGTTTCTCAGGAGCAGGGCTGGCTGGCGGGTACCGCCACTTACTACACAGGAGTTGACGATGTGTCCGGCGGTTATGCTGGAAATTGCGGCTTCTCAGATCTCAGCCGCAACATTGCTGGGATCCCGGGGGCCACCTACGGCCCTCTCTTTGCAGCCGGCAGCGATCAACTCTACAAGGGCGGAGCAAACTGCGGGGCATGCTACGAGATCAAGTGTCTAGAAAACCCTGTGTGTACCGGCAAGACCATCCAGGTCACCATCACCGATTACTGTCCGACTCAGGGCAACGAGCAGTGGTGTGGGGCCGATAAGCACCATTTCGACCTCTCGGGAAAAGCATTCAGCGAGCTGGTCAGCACGATGGCGATCGGCCACTTTGAGCTGCAGTACCGCCGAGTGCCTTGCAAGAAGACGGGGCCGCCTGTTGTATCAATCGAAGGCAATCCCTACTGGCAATCCCTTCGAGTCCTGAACTTGGCAGGTGGGGGCGCGTATAATGCGATGCTCATCCGCTCACCTGGAGGCCAGTACGTCCCGTTGAAGCGGGACTGGGGCACGAGCTTTGTTCACAATGGTCAAATTCAGGCTCCAATCTCGGTGAAGCTCTTGGTTAATGACCCAAAGAGCGAGGTCGAACTGATTGATTGCGTGCCAGTGGGATGGGTTGGCGGAGAGTACGCTTGCAAGGACAGCAGTAGTACTGTACACACGCCAGAGAGCAGGAGGATGACGATCCAGGACAACAAGCAGCGCCTCCAATGCAACTGCACGTGTGCCACCTTCTGAGAGACTTATTTTGTTGGTTTATATCTGCAGTCCATCATGTCAACTAACAAGACGTCAGGCTACGTCGACAAGGCCGTCGGAGCTTCAAAGCAGGCCGCAGGGAAGGTCTTCAGCAACCGCCTTGAAAGCCAGGGTGGCGCACAGCGTGAGAAGGGGCAAGCAGAGATAGACGCTGCAAACGCTCGGAAGCAGGCAGAGGCCACTGGCGACAAGGTTGCAGGAACGGCAAAGCAGGTTGCAGGATCTGTCACAAACAACACGAGTCTGGCTAACGAGGGCAGGGCTGAACGTCTATCAGGCAAGCAGAAGGGGGCCCGTAACGAGTTTTGAAGACTCTAGTGGATCCTTTCGAGATAGAACTGGTTCGAGATATCGTGCTGTCTTGATGTGTTCAAGGGAATTGAAGTCGGATGTTCCGAGTAATATAGAATCAAATATGGTGGATCGTCCTTTGTGGGCGAGGAAGGACCACAAAGACCTACATACTCGATCACTTTAGGTCGAGGAACCAGTTCATGCGCCAATATATCTCGTATAGAAAGAGCATCAGCTTGTGCTAAAGTGACACCATCATCATCGTCAGAGATGTCGAATCTGTTCTCTCCATCGAGCCTCTCAATCTCGTAGGTGCTCCAGTTCTGAGTGCCAGGCGGCCGAGCCAAGATACGCAGCCTAAGGCGGCTGGTGCTGCGACTCATCATCAACATTGCGTCCGAGATTAACTGGAAGATCTGTGAGCGGTTCATTCGTTTTTGTATCATACAAGCATTTTCTCTCAGCATCACCGACTCGGTAGCAAGGACAGCCTGGTCAAACGGATTGTGTTGATGGCTGCTGACAGCATCTCGGCATCACAGTCCATCGCATATCTCACGCGAAAGCACCGTACGTGCTCGAGTTCCAGGGGCGACACAGAGGGAATCAAGAGGGGAAATGCCTGATGCCGTATGCATTTCGCTTGAACCGAACGGACCCCCCCTCGGCCAGTGTGTATGTATTCATAAGCGTATCTGGTCAGCGCGGCAGGGTCCGGCCTGTCACTATGGTAGAATGTTTCGCAAATCATCGCTTCGATTGCTTTCGTTCTTGCCAGCTTCTTCTTCGCCTTGTTAATCCTCTTCTGCAGCTTCTCCAACAGAGCTGCAAGATAGGTGGCGGGCGAGCCAAATTTCAGGATGCCTGCTACCACAACATCTTCAAACCCGTAATGGATGAGCTTCCCGATCCGGTTTGAGGTCCACAGTCTCAACAAGGAAATGGTGCCGTGCCATGTCTGAACGCATTGCTGCGCTATCCCAGCCACCCCAGACGCCCGAGAAGACAAAGTGCAAATTCAGGTGGCCTCTGGCATTTACTTGAGCATCATAATCCGAGTCCCACGCATATTTGCGCTCCCATTGCTTTGGGGGCCCTGTTGATTGTGTGGCTGCACGACGCCTGGCCGCATCCCGTGCCATGTCCCAGCTGTCACCAACGGCCTGCTTGAAGCCCTGTGAGACACACGCCAGTGAACAGAGGGTTTTGACGTCGATTGAAGAGTGCATGTGGAGGAGCTGAACCAACGTCGACTCCATTCTGTAAGAAGGTGCAGGAAGTTGGTGCGTGGGCGGCGCACGGTCAGGAGCTTAGGACTAGCTTCACATGCACTGGAGTATTCGCAATGGAGCGCCTGAGAAGATATCACAACATGGTTAAGACCAAGGCGTTGAGCGAAGCTCTTCAAGGCCGGGACGCTCCCAACACCTCCCTGCTTGACCTGGCATGTGGGCCAGGTTCAGATTTGCACAAGTGGCATCGGCTTGGGATCCATGATGCGATGGGCTTGGATGCCAGCGAGGAGGCCATCCTAGAAGCGCGAAAGCGGAACAAGACATGCAAGACAGCCTACCGTTTTGTCATCGCAGATGTTTGCAATCGGCTGGAACGGTATGCAAGACAGGAACGCTGGGATGTCATCACATGCAACTTTGCAATCCACTATCTCATGGAAGATCCAGAGAAGTTTGCCAACCTCCTCAGTGCAGTCAGTGGCGCATTGAAGCCTGGTGGATATTTCATTGGCACTGTCCAGAACGGTGATAGGGTGGATCAGCTTATGGGCAACAGCAGCAGCTACAGGAACAACATCCTCAGTGTGCGGCGGGCGGGTGACATTGTGGAATTTGACATGCACGGCACGTACTACTTTGAGAATGGAGCCAGCAGAGAGATGTTGGTATGACCAGAGAACATCATAGGTCCTGCCTTAACAGCAGGGCTCAGTTTGAAGCGCTGGAGTAGCTTCCCTCAATACCTACCAACCCCACAGGACTACCCAGAAGATGAGATTGTGATTTCAACAATGTATGACACGTTTGCTTTCTACAAAAGGCCTTTCAGCTGTTCCTGATATCTATTTGTCACTCAGCAAGCTGGAGCAGCTCCGGAGAAGTGTTCAGAACTGTGTCAGCTCTAGCCTTGTAACCTTCGAAGAGACAGTTGGCAGCTGCCACGAATGCTCTGATTCCTTCACAGAGCTCAAACTCTGTGCAGCTGCCAGTCTCTCTGATGAGCTCAATCTCAGACTCCTCAAGAGACCTTGCTATGCACTCCAGAGCCCAAACATCAAAGTCCACATGAGCGTAGGGGATGGCACCATGCTTGTGCACCGCTGATAGGAAGTTGTAGAAGGGCTTTGAAAAGTCATCAAACCCGTCCATGAGCTGGAGATATGCAGACCCAGCACGTTCCCAGTCCGCCTTGGTCTTTAGCTGAACTGGCAGGTCCTCGATCCAGCAGGGTTCGTCTGCAATACTGATCTCGGCATCAACTTTTGGGACCGCACTCTCCAGCACCTTGCGCACGCGCCCTGATCACGCGACTGACGGGCTGGATCAATCCCACCGAGGATTTCTCTCAGTAACTTTGACAGCCTTTTTGAAAGTGTACAGGGCACCGCGGCAATTGGGCCGCCGAAGGTGAGCTTGAGCAGTCGGAGTGGCCGGTTTGTCAAAGACGGAACCATCTATCGAGGGTTTTCGTGTCGATTTTGAGCTGATCCACGACATGGTGCATAGCACATCCGATTCGCATAAAGCTCATGCATGCAAGTGTTTGAAAGTTGCACTTGGATGCAGGCGTGTGGAGATGTGCAGCCGGAAAAGAAGAGCAAAATGGACGGCCAAGGGTAGATTGTGGCAAGGGGAGAACTTATTGACTAATTGACCTTGTAAGACTACCCAAAAGCGAACAGTATTCTGTGGTACTAAGCAATCTTCGATGCTTGGCGGCGGCTAAAGAGCCAGTCAACTTTGGAGTACTGCCTTTTTGGGTGTCCCCGTTACATCACATGGGCGACAAAGTGGGCGAAAATGGGAATGAAAACAGTAAGCCACTCTCGACCACCTTCGACATCATGAGAGACCCTAAAGAGTAGGACCGCCCACATGTCGTTTTCTCCCGCCAAAGCAGTTGTTGCATATTACTCAAAGGCCAATTTGCGTTCAACATCAGACTGGCCTGCTGATGCATACTCGTAGATATTTATTCCATTTACTCAATCGGTCATGTATGATGGCAGGATATATTCATTCCTCTATATCCAGTTCAGAGCGTCGCATCACCTTTTCCCAAAGGGTATATGCCACAGTACTAACTCCAGTCCTGAACACTCTTAAATCTCAATTCTGGAACTGTGGTATTGATGCTCGGTGCCTAATTCAACATTGGCAAAAATGGGACGAGCTTCTTCAGATGTTGTTTTTCAATAGGGCTGTCCATGACTTTCTCCATGTTTTGAAATCCAATCCAAATTTTGTTTTACTAAGTGACTGCACAACGAGGGCCCCAAGTTCGGCAAAAGCTAGAACACATCTTGAATAAACAGCGCCCAAAGCTCGGCCGAAAATGCAAAAATTGTGGCGCACTGAGGCCACAGCATGCTCCAGTGCCTCTTCCCTAGTTTGCGCGTAAGGGCTAAACTCAGGCCCATGCCCCCGGCCAAAACCGCTCCTTGAAGCAAACCCACAACGGAAGGGTCAGCAACCGCAATTGGGAGCCCCGAGTCTCGAAAGCCCACCGTCGCTGCTGTGACCGGGAGAAGGGTTCCCCCCTCAACGAGGAGAAGGGGCAAATAGTGGGCTAGCGTGGCGCTCCACACTAGCGGCAAGTATCCATATGCCAGGTGCAGAAAGGGTGCGGGTGCGAGAGTCCGTTGGGTGTGGTGGTACAGGCGATTGAGGGCATCGACGCAATATGAGATGACGCCCGGGAGCGATAGGAGACCGGCGGCAACCGCGATGTGAATGGGCTTTGAGTCGATCAGGATGGGGTCAAAACCGAACTGGCTCAGAAGGTTTGGCGCTCGGTGGAGGTAGACTGCAGACACAAAGCAAATGAACGGCCTGAGACTTCAAAAGGGGACCCTCAGAGTCCAAAAGCGGAACGTTTCCTTGACTGATTCATAGTTAAGATCGCTTGCATAAGTGTGCGTGCAGACGTGGGATAGATAGATTGGAAACGGACCAAAGATGAGCGTTAAATGTAAAAGTAGAAAATCGGAAATCGGAACTCTTATCTGACAGATCCATATCTCAACGACGAAGAAATGTAACTGTATCCGCATGACCATGTGTGGTTTGAATGCAGGAAAGAGACTATAGGCGTGCCAAAGCAGGACGTCAACGTCTAAGACACGACTTTTGATATTCAGATACTTGACCTCGCTTACTTGCAAAACGAAACCAAATACTTGCCAAAACCGCCTCGATCAAATACAAAGCCGTCTCGGATCACACAAACCGGCATCGATCACTTGCACAGCCGCTGCATCAATCCAACCTCCAAAAGCGATGCCAAAGAGGACAGAAAGTATAGGGAGAGAAGCGAGGCACGTTGTGCTCAAATTCTCCAAGAGAGACAATACGTAAGGGGAACTGGGCTGAGGCAAAATAGATGGAAGCCAAGTAGAGAAACACCTCTTGCTTGAGAGCATGGCGCAGTCTCCGATACGGTCAATTTATGGTGGTCCATGTTCAGCTTAGGGTTTACAATCGAAAGCGAGAGATTAGGTAAAGAGGGAAAACATACCTCGGTCCAGGCGCATAGACATGAGCACAATATCGAACACAGCCAGCTTGTGGGCAGTCCAATGCTGGATTGACTCTTCATAGTAAAGGGTAGATGAGGAAGACCAGTTTGACGGAAAGTCAAAGCGAAAACCATACATCCGCCGAGAAAAAAGAACGTGAGCGCGACCTCTGTCGCAGCCGGCTTGTGGCTGGTTCACCTGACTTTTCTCAAGGAGACAAGCGTGAAACAGAACGTGAGATAAGGAAGGTAGAAGCGAACTACACCTCCGCCTAGGAGCATGAACATGAGGGCGACCTCCGACACGGCCGGCTTGTGGGTCGTCCAGAGATCGACCCCGGGGGCCCTCAGGTTGAACTGCACGCTAGTGTGAGGGCACGCTTTGAGGCAGTCCATACACAGGGTGCAGTCCTTGTTGTCGACCAGCTGGGCGGGGTGGGAGTGGAGGGGACACCCCGAGGTCTTCAGGCCCTCGGGGGGCTCCGCGGGGCCTCCCTTGTAGCAATGGTACGTCTGACACGTGGCTGCAGGTGGATAAAAACATGTCAGCAGGAGCTGTTGTTGTTTTCTTCAACTTCCCTGCTTGTACTCTGCTCTTAAGATCCCTTCCCTGCAATTCTTTTCACCGTCGTTCCCCCGTCCTATGATCTTACAATCGCACTCCTATAGAATTCCTGCGCAGTGGTCAGAGCGAAGGGGGCAGACTCCGTCGCTAGGCCCTCTTGGTTTGTCCTTATAGTAGTGATACGTCAGCCGAATTGGCCGCAAGCAAGTACTCAATGATCAAGTGCGCACGTACAGCAATGTACGGCAGACCCAGACAGATGTTCGAAGGAGGGGGCGCCCAAATGATGAGTCTTTTCAGGATAAAGAGAGTCTCTTCCTGCAAAGAGACCACGTGTCTCTATCTCGCCAACACCAGATGTTGCATCCAATGAGCGACTTGGCTTGGGACAGGTCTTCTGGCACTCAAAGACCCCACAGATCTTCGAGCAATGCCCAGCGTTTGGAGATTGCTCCGAGAATGTTGGCCTCTCAGACACTTTCCAAACGCTAGGGATTGGGTCTCCCTTCTCAACCGAACACACCATTGGCTTGCACGCAATTCCAATCTTGATTCTTAGCGGAGAGGCCGTTTTACATTACGAAGGCACAACAGCGGCACCTGCTAATCCTCGGCACCAAATCTATTCTGGCCGCCTACAATCTTGAGCTCCTAAGATTCTGAATTAAGTGCGCTCCTTGTCCGAGCACACGCCCTGCCGTGCAAGCAACTCTCGGATCGAAGTCTTAGCGAAGAAGGCAGTCATGTCATCTTTTGGGCACCAGCTAGCCCGTGCTCGGAAACTGCTGGGAAGTAAGCGCTACGAATAAAGGCGTCGAGATTTTGCTGTTTACTCGTTAGCTCAGTACATGCCCTGTAATGACCGCAACTTCCGCCATTAACAATCTCGCAAAGAGGCTGTTCAGGTTGCGCAGCAGGAGAGGAGCTCGCTTTGTGCCGAGAACTTCACAGCATTCGAGTGCTAAAAGTTCGAAGAATTGGGCCCTTCTTTCAGTCCACAGCAAGGAAACCCACTTGCCACTTGCGTACTCCCGACATTGTCGTCTTAGCAATAGGGCCGTTCATGCAGCCAGTTTTGCACAGATAGCGGCATCACAGGTGGCGCTCAAAGCGGCCACCTACGAATGGCGCATACAATTTGAGGCTCTAGGGTTGTGTGTCAATCCTGAGCACATGCCTAGAACGCACGTATTTCCATCTTCAATCTTCGACATCTTGGCGAACAGGCACTTCAGAGCGCTAATCAGCACAGAGAACAGGCGCTCTGAAGTGGCTACTAAATTTAAACGCGTCAAATTCGAGGTCCTAAAAATTGGAATCACTCCTCACCTGAGCACACGCCCTGCCGCGCGCGCACTTCCGTCATCGACATTTTAGCAAATAGGCCGTTCATGCCCCCAATGGGGCACAGGTACCGGCACCAGAGCCGGCGCTCAAAGATGGCAGAACAGATGACGGCGCCTGACGTGATGAGGATGAGGAGGCCGCCAGAGAGTGCGGCATGGGTGCTGAGGTGCCATACATCCTCCCAAAGTAGGATCCCGGCGAACATGGCAAACAAGAACCAGGGACCCCATGCTTCAGCTGCAAGGAGAACATGGTTGATCTCTTGTCGCCTTGAAGGGATAAGGCCTTGAACACCCAATAAGAGACCAAAATATGAGCAAAGCGAGCAGAGAAGTGGAAATAGGGGTACCAGCAAGCTGACAAAGAAGCGTGGGTGCAGAGGTTGGCCCTCGTAGAAGTCCTTCTTTGGAGGATTGAGAATCAAAGGGAAAGAGGTTGCAGAACGTGCGGCTGGTTGCGTTGGTCCTAACACCTGAGCGTCGAAAGAAGCAAGGTCTTCGCAAATGTGGACACGTTCCTAAGTTCTGCAAGCAATACCGGATTAAAAATAGGAACTGAGCCCACTGCACCTGTCTCCCGAGGCCACTTCAAGAGCTGGGCGCCCCTACTGAGCCGCCACCTCTGTACCAATTCTCCATAAATCATGAAGGGACATACTGCAGTAGCAGAGATGGGTAGGTCAGATTGTAGAAACCGGTGGTCATGGTAAGCTTGCATATATATTACTCGAAAGCTGACAAGACGGAGATTTGAAGGCCTTCAAAGCGGATGTAAACCAACGAGTCCACACTGTGCTCCTAGAAACGTCCTGCGGGGTTACAAGTTGTCCGGAGAGTACGTCGGCTCCTTGGGAGACGCGAGAAGAGAAATCCGTGTTTTGGACTTGTAATGTGACGTTATTGCAGAAGCATCTGCGCAAAGTCTTTTGAGCACACTCTTTTGGATGTCATTGGAGTTAACGAGTGTGTCAGAACAAGAGGCTGTCCACTCTGCTGAATCAAAAATCGAGACGTTTAGGTGCCAGGCGAGTTATAAATCCTGGTACAATGTTTGGACTCAGAAGACAAGCCCTAAACTGGAAGGCTCATAAAAGCACAGGCCACGATTGGGCTAAATACCGTCAAGACGATGTTCCGCCCGATAAGGGCCCAAAACCAGAAAGCCGCAGATAGGAAGGAAACAAGAGGGGTTGATGAGCGGATTGTACTAGCGCACCAGATGTGGCTCAGGAAGGGTTGGCCTAGACAGGTGGGCCCAGAAGAGCGTCGATCAACATCATAAGAGTCGTTCAATAGAGATGAACAATCAATCCGCAACAAGAGGGAAAATGACAAAAGCTACCGTGCACCAGAGGCGGCCTGCGAACGGGTAGAACAGGAAGACCAAAGTGGTCAGAGTAGAGCTACGATGATGTCGAGGCAAAGAAATAGATACAAAATTGGAGAAGGAGCCTTACTAGCACACCATACGCGGCCCAGGAACGGGTACATGAGGAAGATGACCGGCCACCAGTAGGCCCAGAACACAGTCAGAACGACATTGTGCTCCCGGTCCTGGGGCCCGAATAAGAGGAGGCACACCCCTATGGCAAAGGCGTAGGCGGTGAAGCGGAAGTTAATCTCCTTGGGCCAAATGTCGCTCCGGAGAAAGGTGCGCAGGGGGGGGTACGCCTTGAGGAGGTCGAGCCGGAAGGGGTCATGCCCTTGCTGCGAAAGATGCGGCCAGGCTTAAAGTGCCACTTGCAAGCGCAAAGCAAAAACGAAGCTCTTTGGCTTTCACAACTGACGAGTAACCGGACAGGAAGTATGTTCAATGTGCCGGGTACCAAACTAAGTCAATTGAAAGGTTGTAGACACTGATGGACGTACCTAGGCCTATAGGCCCATGCAAAGCTCGACGAACTTTTCATGCACATAAGACTCATTCCCCCATCAAAACCACAGTTCCAAAACTAATTCCAAACCTTGGACCTATGAAAGGCCAAAAGCAACCAGCGTTGAAGACTCTTTGCACTTGCTCAACGCAAAACCCAAGCCTCTAAAAATGAACCCATACCTTGGTCGTGTCCCACAGGACGTCCGCAGTCAGCTGCGTCTCGTCGTCCTGCACGTTGCCTGCCGCCCTCTCAAGGACTGCCTGGAGCTCCTTGATGTTGCCCGGGAAGGGGCTCGTTTCTAAAGTGCGCAGTGCATCGGAGGTGGGCACGATGGGCTGTGAGCGGTGCTCGAGGCAGTACTGCTTCAAAAAGTAAGCGGTTAGGTCGGGGATGTCGGAAGGGCGCACTCGGAGTGGGGGCACCTGAAAGGACGAAATACGGGATCTAAAAGTTGAAGTGGGAATAGAAAAGTAGAAGCAGAAAGGAATAAAAGTGAGTAATAAAGTATTGGTAACAGACAGACTGAGAAAGTACTTGCAACACGCACTTGGACAATGAACAACCCCGATTCTACCTTCACCAATGCAACTGGGCGATCGAGGCACCAGAAGTTGGCGCTTAGGTTGGCAATGTTGGAAAGGTGCACCTGGAGCGGGTGACAGAACAACGCAAACGATGTCTTATTCGTCTTGCTATCTGTTACTTGAATTGACTGAATGGAATCAAATGTAACTTTGTGTTCCATACTGCACTCTGTCAACCGAGCAACCTTCAGAGGAGCGGTTAGGGGGAGAATGTTAAAAGGGCACACATGGAGGGGAACCAGAAGTGGAATGAAACCCTTGCTCATCCAAAACTCGGTACTCCAATGAGAGTGTCTGTTTCTAAGCATATTCGATATACCTTGCATAAAATTATACAGCAAAAACTGTCCCTACAAGATCGCATTGATTGGCAAATCCAAGAAGCAAGCAGTCACATTTGGAGATTGTTGAACGAGGAAAGAGGGGATGAAGCGTGGCGCTCGATCTTCTGCATCTTACAAATGTGCTTGTAAAAGTTGAGGAAGATCATGAGAGGCCAGTCCTCAAAGTGTTACTCATTCTCTTTATTAGACTTTGTATTCAATAAAGAACTGATCAACTCCGCAAAACCTGAGCGGCCGGGGCTGCTAGGTGGGGTCAATCAATCAAACCCTTGAGAGTCAGTCACTAGTAGGAGATGGTGCGCAGGCGAAGGTGAACCCCATTGAGCTAGTTACGCAAAGCGGAAACAAAGCCTAGGATTGCACTCCAATTAGTTGGCGTCTGTGTTCCCGTGAGCTCTCCACGACCTACTTTCAAAGCATCTCGAGAATATCAGCCGATGCCTTTATGTTCCCTACTTCGCTCCTCTTACCTTTCTTTCCATGATGAATCTAAGACAGTAATTTGAATGTGATCGCTTTCCAACCGGCCAGAGATGAAGAATGACGCACCTTGATGATTGTCACGAGTTGGTCGAGAGCTGGCACCCTTCCCTCTGCCGTCAGGATGATGCGCGCGCTGCTGTGTTGCACAGGCTCTGCATTTAGTCCGTCTGCAAGACGAGAAGCGCTACCAGCTATGGAAGGATACTTTCTGGACTGCAACAATGGATAGCAACCTTGCTTAAACGAAACTCTGGTGCTCAAAATCTCAAGCGTTTGCGACTAGATTGCTTCGGCATCTGATTGGATTAAAAAAAGCTTCATTTGGAGGAAATTGTTTTGACACCTTATGCTCTTTGAAGCTCAAACTTGAAATCCTCTCATTTGATGCTGCGAGAGTGCACCACGAAAGGCCAAAAGATGAAGAGGAAATTCTCAAATCCTTTCACAAACACATCCACTAGCCGTAGTATGCAAAGCAAAGTGTTAGAAATGCCACACACTGTAAATGCTACAATCTCTTCTGCACGTCCGTCCGCAAACAACACATTACCCTACCAACCGCAGGAACGTGTTGCACCTCAAGAGCAGTACCGTCCTGGAAACGAACCAGTTGAAGGCGGTAGTGTAGGTATGCTTACCTTCTGGCTGGGCCCAATCCTCAAGACGGGTATTGGCTGCGGGAAGATAGTTTCCTGAACGCACTAGTTCAACTAGGTTCTTCAAAAAATCAGGATGTGCCTGCAAGAAAGGCATTTTTCAGAAATCATTCGGATGGGAGCATCAAAACCTTGTCCGATTAATCGGCAGAGGCGGCAGGGAAGAACGGAGACTGAGCAAGACCGACCTCTCCCAACGGACTTCACAATGTTTGCATCTCTTGAAGGAGACAAGCTGTAAAGGATGGTAGTGCACGACTTTGAAGAAAATGGAGGCATTCGCAGAGTCAAAAGAAGACGCCAATCTTAGTAGACAACGGCGAAACGAGGTACGAAAAGAGGAACAAGTGGTGGCATTTGGGCTCAATGAGCAAACAAACACATACACTCACAAGCAGTTTGATTTCAGGCTTTCCCTCGAATTGAGGAGCCTAAGAGCAATTGCCATGGCATGGTGATATGACCTCCTAGTGAAACCATGTGCTTACCAGCACTGAAAGGACAAGGTCAGAACCGTTTGTCCTCCTGCTCGGTACCACTTAGAAACCCTTAACCCCTGAAACTCTATAACCCCTGAAACCCTAGAAAGCGAAAACCCCAAACATTGTGACAGCTGGCTACATCTCCGGTTGATATGCTACCTCATGTCTGACATTTGCTTTAACAAATCAAATCCTATAACAAAGAAGTACGTTACACAAATAAGCAACCAGCACATCGCACATGGTGAACATTTTCCAGCAGCAGCGTCCCATCCCCTAGCCAGTACAAAACCCCCCGCTTGTTGGTGCGGCCAAAGAGCTCCACTGCACTTCTGCCCAGGCAGCTGCAGTCCAGGCGCACAAAGTCCTTGGAGCTGTCTGGGGAGCCGGAAAAGATCAACGCCGCAAAGTCATCCTTTTCAAGGCCGGGCTCTCCAAATAAAAGCACCGGGCCCCTGTAAAGAAACGCGTGAGGATTTCAAGAACCAATTGGCCACACTCTCTCAACGAACTCAGAAGAAGCACGTCTCGACCAACCTGCTGGCTGAACAAAGGGCGGCGTCCTAAACGCAGTAGGTGCATTTACGAGCACAATGCAGTCCCGAACATCTTGTTAGCTGGGTTTCCAGATTCCCGAGTAGTTAAATTCTATTTTGTGTTGGCCCAAATGCTACCGCGAAAACTCACAAAAACTACTTGGGAAGGCCAGTACAGAAGCTATATTCTGGCATCGTATGCTGTTGTTCTGTGCTTTGCAATACATGTTGAATAATAAAATGATATGCTGAGTCAAGACCCATTGACCCTCTAAGTGCTCAATTGTTCAAGGGACACATGCATCCTTCCTAGAAGCAGGCCCACTTCTGAAGCAAAGCCTAGAAAAAAGCCACCCTTAAGTAGAGCAACGCACAACAACGTCAGAACCCAGACAATGTTGCCCACACAAATGACTAAACCCTGAACAACGAAATTACCATTTCCGCCGTCCAGAGATGGCCAGAGTTAGAAAGCGCCATTTAGCACTGAATCCAAGTACCAGAGTGGAACCTGCATTAGATGCGACGTGCAACAATCTGGTGCAGATTCGACAACTCACCGGCTCATGTCCCTTGCTGCCTGTGCAATCTCTTTACGAAGGCGCACTGCGTATCGGGACTTGCCAATCACTCCCCTTCGAGGAAGATTACCCAAGTGCGGCCGCAAAGCATGCTGCTTGGCGGCCTCGTCCTGCAGAAAACATATTTTCTGCGACAAGTTGTTTACAGATTGCATTTGCCGGGTAGATTTTAATCCTTTCAATGACGCATGGGCTAGCCGCATGACGCCCCTGCAGGGATATAGCATGCTGCCTGGGTGTAAAAGCATTTCCACTGCAGTATCTTTTCTTTCCTTCTAAAAGATAGCAAACAGACCTTACTCATGCGAACCTAAGACTGGAAGGTAAGGTGGGGCAGAACAGAAAAGGAAAGGAAAAAGGAAGAACGCATTAGGCGTTCAGACCTTACGATGGGAAAGGAGCTCAGTCTCCAGAACAAATAAAATAGGTCTCGTCCAATCTCTTTGAACTAGGCATATCTTTGCAGTGCAATTTTGCATCCCTGATGGTGCAACTTCAGAATTAAAACACATACACGGGATCCCCGCGATTAAACACTTAGAAGAGGTGAAGAAGGTTTGCCAGATTGTCTTTCAAAGATGCCAAGCCTTGGGCACAAGAAGCCAGCACAGCAGGGTTCTTGCTGGCACATAAAGTTAAACAAATAAGAGAGGAAAGAGATTATGCTGCTGTACGCGATCCTATACCTTTCCTTGGCATCCTAATACAATTCCCACATGTCAACATTCTTGCAGCTTGTTGCGATTGAACCTAGTGTCTACAGGTCCTCAAACTGAGATGTCTTGGTAGCTAAGAAAAAATGAATAATCAGAACTTTGTCAATTCTGCAGGTCCTGCAACCAAATATCTGGGCAAATCCTGTCAAAAAGAGTGTCAGCTAACACTCCAAGCACTCAAAACCACAGTATATTTGACTTCTCTTGTCCATCTCAGAGTGTTCACCACAAATTCGTTACACTTGGGATTTTTGCAACCACCATAGAGAACATTGAACATTCTGCAGTCAATTGAACCGAATGTGCTCTCGTTCTTGCCTTTCTAAACTGATTGATTTGCATGCAGAAAAACCAAGTGGCTATGGGTCTGCCATCGGGTTGCCTGTCTAGGAACAAATTGCCAAGAAGAAGTACTGAAACCTGTTTCCAACACCCCTTTGTCCTACACCAAGAGAAAGACTGACCCCTATAGTTATAGGGTTCTGGTCATTCTCCATAACAACGAAAAGAACGATACCTGAGCAGCTCCCTGAGCATCTCCTTTCCGGTGTAGACATAGCACCGGAATCTTTTCACCCTTCTGGGCAAGCGGTAAACCCTTCTCTTTATAGCTCAGGAAGCCCCCATTGTGCAGCACTCTCTGCCTTCGCAAGAATCTCCCCTTCGATGCTAGGAGTAATGGTGTGCTGCAGAAGGCTCTCTGATTGGAGCTTGGGAGAAAGGATGTATACAAGCCTTGGTCCCGCTTATCACATGAACGCAACAGGAGGAAGGAACGTGAATACGCATGACGCAGGCCCGTTTGGGTGGTCCCAGCGACAATCATTGCGTCACATCAGCTTTTGACCGCCTCCCAAATCCAACAGCTTTTTCCAAAGGTCACTCTCAAAGATCAAGCACCGCTTCTCAGGCTGTCTAAAGGGAGGTCTGATCTGCTTTGATGCTCTACCAGTTTAGTTTTCAAAGGAGGTAACCAAAACATGTTATAACCTGCCCAAATAGTGCATGCACATTTTAAACTGCAGCAGATGCCAATTACTCGAGCTTTGAGGGAGGTAGAGCACTGGCCAGGCTTCAGTGGAGCTCAAAGGCGTTCGGCAAACCAGTATCGCTGACCGGCTCTGACGGGGCTCTAGCCGAAACGCACCTGCTTTTCCGAAGTCTTGGTTTTTGTTGGAGTTCGTCGACAGATTCTGCCCGATTCGTCAGACTTTCTCAGGGTCAGATATGCGAGGTCTGCTGAGCTCGAATGAGGCGCACTATGTCCTCGTTGGCATACCTTATGAGTCTCATAAAAGTAACTTTGGTATTCCTATATTGGTCGAGAAGGAAACTTTTTTGTTGAAAATTTTCAAGAGATCCTATAGGCGACCCATACATACATATTCGCTACTCTCCAGTGGGAAAGAAAGGAGTTCTACTGTGCCAACTGTTATAACTATTTTGCACAAAAGTCTGTATATACATATCCTTTACTCTTTTGGAAAAGAAAATACATCTACTGGGACTACTAGTAAAACTTTCTTACACAAAAGTATGTATATACATATTCGTCACTCTTTTGAAAAGAACAATTCCCTACTGGGTCTATTGTTATGATTTTGTTACACTGGATACATGTGTGAGAAATCTATAAGAGTAGAGGTAGGACCAACTTTTGGAACCGGCAGATGTTGGAGGAAAATGTTAGTATGTACCTATGTTCTCCCTTCTCGATAAAAGATGCAAGTTCCCTAATGTGTGAAAAAATTATAACAGTAGCAATAGTACAAACTTTCCGGCTGGCTACCAGGTGAAGGAGTCCTATGTATGTAGTCTCACCCCTTTGAAACAAAAAGCAGAGACAGGGTCGTCCTCTAACGCTCTCCCACTCCAAAGCAGCTCCTCCTCCTACCGCCTCTCTCACTTGAAAGCAGCTCCTCCTCCTACCGCCTCTCCCACTCTAAAGCAGCTCCTACCAACCTTCCACTCCAAAGTAGCTCCTCAGCTCCTACCGCCCTCCCACTCCAAAGCAGCTCCTCCTCAATCCCCTAAATACAAACGCTTTTACGAAAAGAGCATTGACTTGAAATGATTGGAAAACCTGGAGCTTTATATTCGTATGAATGGCACCGGTCGTCACGCACCAAATTCACCAGAAGTTTGTTCGACTAGGGTACCTGGCGCGTGTCCAAATAGCAGTCAGGGAAGTTCTCGGTCATTTAGAGCATTTGGACACCTTTTCCAGATGTGAAAGAAGCGTGAAGTGGCTATTAGCGCCTACAAGCAGGATCCATACTAGAGAAGGACGGCGTCTGCCCTTCCTCTAGAATTCTGCAAGTAGAGGTAGTTTGCCAATCCAGGCAAGCAGATGGCAGCCAGCTCCCGGACAAGTTATCTTAGGGGGGCCCCTTTTAACTTTAGCCTCAGACTACGTGCTAGAGGGGCTGAGTAGGCCTTCCCGTCCCACCGCACCTAGAATAACGAGAACAGGAGCAGCAATAGGGCAGGCCCACCAGAATTTGGAAGGGCCTTAGAGCAGCAATTCCGCCAGTTGGTAGATGCACCGCCATC